ATGCACGTTGTAGGTCGATGCGTACCCAGCGATGCTGGCAACGATGAGCCGGTTACATAAAATGTGTCTGCGCACGGTTTCAGGGATGATCTTTAATAATCCTATGACGCAGACCAAGGTACGCGATCAGATGAAGCGACATGTCATCCTAAGGTGACTTATAATAATAATTTACGACAAAAAAATGACCAAAGGCAACATGTCACAAATTTGGCGATTTTTCTCTTCCCTTCGGCATGACTTTTAAGCGACATTAATACCCTTATACTTATTGTGTATCATGAATAAGCGTTTTCTTGTAATTATTACACTATCGTCTAAAGGTGATATGTTGCCTCATCTAGCAATCCTAACACGAATGTCCTATCGGCCTTTCATTAGGATATCGCGCAAATGTTCGATGTAGATACACGTGACGCGTTAGAACTGCCTATTTGCAGTAATAACGTTCCCACACGCGAGACTGTTATTAGACTCCGTTACACAGAGACGACGAGAATAGCAGTGCATAATTTTGAATGTATTCTCGTCTAATATAAAGGGATATAATCGCGACGGAGTCTCTACCGCGTTACTGGCTGGTACCACCCAAGATCTCGAGGCCGACTATAGTCCAGCACCTTCCTTCTCGCGATCACGCAAAATGAAAAGCCGCGGGCTAACCTTATTCAAAGGATATCGATTGGCGGAACAAGAAACGTTGCATGCGCGTCCTTGACTCCTAAAACCTTTTCGTTTCGGAGGCCAGGGTCGGCAGGTGAGAGATTAATCGTCCAGGAAACCTTTTGCGCCCGTAAGGACAGGACCTTCACTGTTCTTCACGAGACACCCGTCCGATCGCTAGATAAGTCACACGTTGAATTAGGTAGCACTGTTATTTTCCCTTCCAAGAGAATCGTTAGTGCACTTAATGACGATGCGAGGTCACAAGAGAGAATTCATTTGAACTAAAGGAGATCTCTACCCCGAGTAGAAATACGATAAAACGCGAACGAGTTTTTATCCATTATGTTTTCACATTTCACGTCTTCGTTTATCACAATTAACCGTTCGTACATTCTTAATGGCGCTCTTGCTTTTTAGGACGATAATAAATATTTTTTATATTAAGTTCATGCGGAAGTTGTTTTTCTATTCAATTTTGTACTAAATAACGTCATAAAAGTTGAAGTTCTTTAAAAAGAAGATTGAAAAAGTTCTCCTCTGGATGAAAAGAAAAAATATACGAAGCTCGTGGCAACAATTTACCTTCGATTTTCATGAAATTTTATTTTTAACTTTATTTAGCGAATTTTTTGCATCGATATTACATTCATAATTATACCGGCAAAATAGTTTGCGTTTTTACTCTGACACTCTGAATTTCGCAGCAAAAAACGACGGTTGCCTGCTCTTGGTAGCGCTCCCATTCTGCTGGAGACGGGAATGACTTGTCCTACGCGATGAATTCGAGAATGACGTCGTATCCAACACAAAGGGCAATAACGAGCTTTCGAGAGGCCGCGCTCGAGAGGCGGAAATTTGTCTCACGGGCGCGATCGAAATGCTGTTTCGATCTGCGGTAATTGCGCAGATAAATCCAGAACGGATGCGCGCGAACGTACGTACAATCGGCGAACGAACTTTTCCCCGGTGACATTTTGCGCGAAGGTCGCAGGTCGATTATGCAGACGATCGACGCAGTGGGAATTCTGCGCGAAATTCGAGTTTCGGGAGAGTTGCGTGAAAATGAGGTCGGCATTGACACGGTGATACATTAAATCGCTGTACAATGTTGCGATTCTTTCGCCGTATATAAATAACGAGAAAACGCAATCGAGCTAAACAATTGACGCTGATCAAAGTTTAATTAACAATTTATTCGTGTACCACCAGATACGAGCTCTTAACGACGAGATTTTCTCTAAACGAGAGGAAACACGTACATCAAAATAACTTTTGTCAGAACCGTGTTGCTAAATGAATAAAAAAAAAAAAAAAACAATAGGCGAATCGCGCGCGTCGCGTTCCATACGGAACGGCTTTGACACTTCCGCTTTACAATTGACTTTTTTTTTCGCAAAAACCATCGGCACGTGTTGTAGATATAGGTAGAAATGGAGTCCATCGTCTCTCTCTTTCCTGCCGCTCGTCGGTCACACCAATGATGACGTTCGAAAGCGCGTTAACGCTTTCACGGTAACAGAATTCTTCAATAGCAGGATGAACGTGCCATAGACATCCGATCGCCTATCATCCGAATCTGCCACGGTTCTTCACTTTCTATGGATGCTATTCGGACGATAGATCGTGAGATGACAATGTCACCGGGTATTGCCAATACGGAGTACATTCGCTTAACTCGAGAGTCGTAGTAAAAAATCGATTAACACATTGCGTTCTGTTTCATTTAGAATTAATTCTTGTGATTTCGTTAGTATTTGCATTTGTCCTTTTATTCACTTTTGCTGGCAGTGTATATTTGCACTTCTTGTGGTCTATTCTGATTAACTTCGATTGAACTGTTTTTTCTTCTATAAGATAATTTTGCAAAAAATCTTGAGCGATTATTATTTTATGATTTTTAGCATCATTATATTGAATTGGGCGGAAAGTTTTCTCGATTTTTTATTTGCAAGTGATTTTTAGCATTTGATTTAGATATTCTAAACTTTTCTGTGATATCTCGAGTGGTTGATGCGGATTATTTTTGATCAAGGCCTTGATTTGATCATCATCGATTGTATTACATTTGGCCTACTCGAACATGGCTTGTTGCTCTTCAACGGAAAAATTCTCACTACGGAACTTTGCAAATCAAAATTGGCACGTCATTCACACTATCTTCATACTGCACATATCTTTTTTCAAGTTTGCATAGCCTTTTTAATAATTAAATTAGGATAATGTAGTGAAAATGTGCCTTTTGATCTTCCACTTCCAATCCTTTATAATAAGCAGCAAACTCTATTGATCTTGATATTTTTTTGTTGCAAGATGATATGTAAGCTGTTAATTAAAAGAAAGTGTGTTCAAACTTAGAGTTAAATTAATGTCACCTACTGACAAAAACGAGAAAACTTTTTTTGGCCAATCCGATATATTTTTTTTTGCTGTCGAGATAGCCGTGAAATATCAAGTAATAACAAAAAAAGCAGTTACTTGTTTCGCTATTATTAAGTAAAATGGAATGAAATTATCTTTGAGGAATATCAAATCAGTTCGTCGCTTTGCTCGCCCACTCAACTTACTTCCCGACTGCGTCACGGACTGTCCGCTTCCTTTAGAAACTTTCTGGCCGACAGAAAAGGATTGCATCTCGTTGGTTGGACTCCGTGCATTCGTCCTGGCCGAAGATCGCTATCCACTATCCGCCGATAGCATTTATGAGCAATGAAAAGCGGACGATGACGGCGGCTCGATGATGGCGCGTGGTATTGTTTTGCTCGCCAAGAACTTGCGCGACCAACAATGGAATGGCCAGCGCGCTTTAATGTCTCCCTCGACAATCCCCGAGCGCTGCCACAGATTCTACCGCAGCCTGAGAAATAGGCTACCTTCCTTTTGTTTAAGAAAGGAACTATTCACTGAGTAGTCACTCGCGAGCCGTGCATAGTTTCCTCTTTTCTTCGGACTCGTCACAATTCAATCTTAAAGGCAGCTCTTCTGCCGCAACATGAATCGATTTCCTAACAATTTCTACACTGATGATAGATTCGCGTCTCTCTTTCATCTCGCGTTTCGTCTCTGCATTTAATTTATTTTGCAGTCCTTGTAATTAACACGTCATAGACACCCTGAGTCTTTTTTGACTCGGGTAAAATTTCTGAAATTTTTTTGACACAAATTTCAATGTTTATTCAACAAAGATTTCAATATTTGAGTTAAATAAATATTTGGCAATGTAACAGAGATATTGAAAAGTAATTATAAATTTTTCTAGATTTTTTTTAAAGCTTAGGATAGGGTAAAAGAAATTTGGACTGAACGAAAAATCCATTGTGCCTACGGAGTAAATAAAAATATGTATGTAAAATTTCTGATTATTTTTAATCAGACTACTGCTTGCATTTTCTCATTGACTTTAATTCAATTGTTTCCTGTTAATTTTGCCAAAAATTTGTGTTTCATACGTTAATTGCACAAGAGACGAATACTCTAAACATTATATAAAATATTAAATATTCAATCAGAATATTCAAAATTCAAGTTTTGATTGTTTCCTTCGCGACCTTAAGAAGAAACTATTCGCAGCCGTGATTCAATCTTATCGAAAAAGGATAATTCCAAAGTGTAATCTAAATCAATCTGATTAGCTATCGCGTGCCAAGGCAACCTTCGCGATGTTCTTCGGCTATTAGAGCATCGTTAAAATCGTCAGTGTGTGTGTCACACGGATGAGAAGTCTCACTTCAATTCTCATCGAGGTGGATATTTAATGTCGTTAATCATTAATATTATTTCCTTGCTATCTCGGTGATACAACTTGACGTGAATGTATGAGAGAATAGAAATATCGATTTTGCTGTCTCTCTAATGCTATTATGTGAGCAGGGTGCGTCATATCCGTATTATATCGTATAGTAATTAACAAGAATATGTTTCATTTTATAATAATTAACAAGAATATGTTTCATTAAAATATATTTATTATTAACCTTTATTCTTCTCGTCATTTTTTGTTCCTCGCTTGTCATTTGCATTTTACGCTTCTATTAAAGGGTTACGTCATAATAAGATATTTTTCAATCGCAATTTCATTTTAGTTTCAATCTTCTACGATTAAAAACGAAATGGCAATAACAATTGGTGAAACTATGCAATTTCTTGGCACGTATCGTAAATGTAGGTAACTCGGTAACACAGCATGTAGTTTTTGTTAAATTTAATCGTGGTATTTATCTATGAATCTCTAAAAGAAGTTTAAGTTTTAAACTTCTTTTAAAGACTGGACATTTCTTTTTATTCGTATTTCTGACAAAATACATTGCAAAATATGTAACCAGATACCAGATAAGGTATCAGGTAACATATAAGCACGAGCAGAGTAACAGATAAGCACGATATGCACATACATGATGAGGCTTATGATAAAGTGGATAAATTCCTTTATATTGCTGCACTACATTTGACACTTTTGGTAGTGGTAGAGCTGGAAGACTCATAATATCCATGTCATAATTTTCCTGATTACACCAAGAAAGAAATTGTAAGAAGAAAACTCCGAATTCAAGAAAGCCAGTAATAATTCTTTGAAGTATATTCCATCCATTAGAGACAGTGAATGAATTATATTTTATCTTCCTTAATAATTCGGTGAGAGCAGATTGCGGATCGGCATACGTTGGTGTAGATAGTAGTTTTAGCAAGAGTGATGAGTATGTTGATTTCTCAGATACGTAAAGTATATAATTATATAACATGAGAGTTTCATGTGTTATAAAAAGAAATGAAAGTCTTTTGAACGACACATTTACTGAAAAACTTTTGCCTTCTCTTCCTTGATAAATTTAACAAAAATACATGCTGTCCCAAGTTACCTACACTGTCACAAGTCACCTACATTTGCGATACTTTACCAGCGTATGTGATGCGTGAAATTTTGCTTGGATACAAATTATCCACGAGGGGGAGTTAAAATTTGTTAATAAAGGACATGCAATAAACAATGCAATAAACGGTAAAGGTATGGTAAAAATACTACGAAAAAAATGTGATTGAAAAAGGTACTCTTGCAAAGATCGCTAATAACAGCTAGATTCAAGATGGCAATTAAACAATATCGAAAATAATATGATTTTAAAATTAAAAATCCAAATTAAATATTCAAGAATTTTCTTGATCTTCACTGACCGAGAAGAGTCATGAACTCCGTGAAAAGTCGCTCGATGTTTGAGCAAACATTTTTCTCCCCAACTGTCGAAGATTCCAGGTCAGCGAGTCAAATTGCCTCGAAAATTCGCTCACCCTTAACATACAAGAAGGACATATAGATACGATGGATGAAATGATTAAAATCCAAAAAGTGACTTTATCTGGGCGGTCTGGACCGACTGATCGAGTTAGACAGATAAAACGATATGATGAACAAAAATATAATCGTCAGCAGTTGAAAGAACGAGACAAAAGAAGTGTATTATACACGTTTATTATATTATATTCCATAAAAAGTAAGGACAACCAAACTTATTTTGTTTTGGTCGAAAATACGAAAATCTAGGTCATTGAATAGAAAGATAAGTGTTCTGAGATCTACTATACGAACAACAACATGGTTATGATTGTCTTTATTCTTAAAAAGTAAATTAATATTGACAGTAAGATTGGAAAGTAAATTAATATTGAATTCTTTAGTTTTTTAAATCAAATTTTTTTATATTGCTACGAATCTTTTTAATATTCAAATTATCTATATGTATATCAGAGCTTTTCAAATTGGGCATCGCGAGCCCTTAAATCCTTTGCCTTTCGCCCACTCGTGCTTGTCCTCCACTAACCTGGGTCCAACGCTTCTCCTCTATTCGTGGCTGTGTACCGGCGCGGTGACATGGCATATCATTTCGTATAACAGTCAGGGTTTCATTGAAAGATAAATACGTACACCGAGAAAGAGACAAAAGCAAAAGAAGCCATATTTATGGCTTATTTTATTTTCGTTTGGGATCTCTATTAATCCTAAGAGTTATATTTGTATACTTGCAAAATATATTCAAAAACAAGATTATGAATCAGTATCATTAAAAGGATGTATCGATATAATTTAGCTCGGATTTTAAGAATACGTAATTATTTATAATAGAAAAATTATAATTACTACACGGAAAATATACATAGGATAGAAAATATACAAGTTAAGACATTAATCTCGTGAAACATAGAACATTTTCTTTGGTCTTCGAAAAGTTCTTTTTATTTGTTGTTATATGCGAAAAGATACATATAAATTTATTTTCATATCTTTATAAGACGATATAAAATACAGAAAAGGCACTTTTAAGAGATGCCATTACGTATGAGTTCCGTATATATTTTAATATATTTTTTATAAAGTTTGATTAACGTATTCGTGCATAACATTTATTCGGAAACATTTATACGGTACGAACTTTCTTCGCTCTGATTGACAAATAAGTCAAGAATTATTAAATTAATTGCAAATTATTTGGCACTAAATAGTAACAGGAACTTTTGCAAATATTATATACAGGCAAAAAATGTCTTTGGTAGAGATTTGCCATCGAGATCAATGAAATGAACATGAAGATAAATTTAATAACGTACACTGGCATATATTAGATAATTATCTCTTTCATATAAATTTAGGTCAGTTTTATATGATTAAATTCAAATATATTGATGGCTTTTTTTACGAAAAATATTATAATTGCAAAACTTCTTAAATTTATTTGTATAATATTTAATTATCTTTCTAAAAATTATAAGAATCCAAAACTATATTCAAGTTTGTCGACATAAAGTTTTCTTCCTTTCTCAAACAATATATTTTTATACTCTTATATTATATTCTTTCTTTAACTACTACTGATAAAAAATAAAACATTTGCATTGCTTCAAAATTTACTTATAATATTTTCCATTACTATCGTCGATATTTTCAAGATTTGGTCAAGGTAAAGTATCTCAGAACAGTCCCTTAACATTAATGATAAGGATACTTTGATGCTATTAATATTTAATAGGCATGCTGAGTACTTCTTTCGTCGAATCAATATAAATCAAAATCAAGTCTGAACGAATTCAAAATAAGTCTTCGATTTTTCTTGGTTTACACCGATTCTTTGTTGCGTCATAAATCTGGCCCTTAATTCTTGAAAAATATCGCATATGAAAATACTAAAGAAATCTATAATATTTTTGTACATTTTCGTATGCGATAGTGTTCAAGAATACGACCCTTGGCATACAGTGCAAACGAGTTTGTAGCCGTGAAGGCGATTTTCTTTTTTAGTGAGTCTGATCAGTGATCCCACCCAAAGCATTCGCACCAAAATTTGTCCATTGTGTGATAAAGGTGAGGGGACACGTTTTCAAGAGAATGCGCTTCGTCCGTGTACGTGACCTGTTCGAACAGGATGTCTTTATGCTCCAACGACTTGGCAAGTGCCAATGCCTGCTGGTAGTGCACGTTGTCATCCCCGGTACCATGTATCAACATGTACTTTTTGCCGCGTATTCCTTCCGATAGTCGTGAAATATCCGTGCGATTGTAACCATCAAGGTTGTCCTCCGGAGTCGGCAGACCCATTAATCGTTCCGTATAGATGGAATCTGTAAATCGGACAACGATCTTTGAGATAATATTGCTGAAGCTCGAGATTTGAATTAAAAATACGTCGAGATTATTCGAAATCATCGTAGAATAAGGCAGGACTATTCTATCAATTTTTACTTTAAAGTAAAATGAAAATTTACGATGACAAATGATATCTATCATCTTTTTGTAGTGACATGAGCACAAGCCTTTAAACATTCGATATGTATGTACTGTTCAGAAACAAACATTATTGTGAGAAATGAACGAAAAAGCCCTGTTCTATCCTAGGATCAAAATTAATGCTGAACAAAATCAAATTTCCAAAAAATCTCTTCTTTTCAATTACCATAATAAATCCAGGAAGTTACGGGTGCGACGGATATACCGCATTTGAAGACAAAGTTGGTATCTTGGGCCATCATCATACCAGTAGTGAAACCACCATAGCTCCAACCCCATATACCAGTCCTGTTCGCGTCGATCCAACTGTACTGCTTCTGCAGAATTCTATGGCAAAGAACATTTTCATTTTCAGAGCGACATTCACTGCAGGGAACGAAGCAATTTTTGATCAGTTTCGCGTTACTCACTCGGTGACAGCGATCGTATCTTCAATTTCTACGGTACCTATCTTCCGGTATATTTCAAAAAGCATGTTGCTGCCTTTAAAGGCCGATCCTCGTCCATCGATCCATGCGTGAACCATGCTTCGGTTGGTCGTTAGATAATGCTCGTATCCATACTTGGCATCATCGACGATCCTGACCGTGTTCGGACCGCCGTAGCTGTAGGTTACAACATGTTTAACAGAAATAAAACCTCGAATCGAAGAATAGCTTTGAATTTTCATCTCCCTCAGCGTTACGCGGTGTTCGATTTTATACATCTCCGAGTTACAAATGGGTAGCATGAATTTCTAAATAAATGGAGCGCTCGATACGTCGCAAATGCTTCTTAAAAAAGAAGAGAAAAGTGAGCGAGGGTTATTAAAGGTAATCGATCGTTTCAAAAGCCTCGGCATGAATCGGCAAACAGACTCGATCCAATTTTAAATGGAGATTGCAATCCTTTTGCGTGCTGATCAATCATAGCGTGCGCCGATTTTAATTGCGGTGTAACCGCTATTAATGATATATACGATATATATATATAATATATATAAAACTAATACATTAATAAAAATAAAGTTAATATTTCTTGAAAAATATGGAATTAGACTTGTGATAAAATAGTAGAAAACTGTGACTTTAATTTTATTTAAATCTATGCACAAAATAAGAAGGTTCTATTAAGCAAAATGTTGCTTTCCTTAAAGCTGTTATTTTATGATGCAATATTAAAATTTTTAAAAAAATTTTTTTTTTAATCTATGCACGATACTGTCATAAAGATATTCGTACGCTGCATTCGTCTTCGAATCAAGCACGATTTAAAATATAATGGGGCCAATACGGAAATATGTACCTCTAATAATAAAATTGATTTGTCTAATATATTTATCGTTAAATTTTATTTATATTTTTGTATAAGTTTCATTTTTTATATTCTTATCCTTGTAATAAAAAAAATCTTGTTGCTAAGCGTAAAAACATAAATTTCCTTTAATGACCTCATGCAAAAAAATTGCTAGTATTTTTACGTCGTCAAATTTGTTACTTATTATATCAAAAGGACTTAAATACTTACACGAATACCATCATAGGGTACAACTTGCTTTCGTCGAAATCTGGCGGCAAGAATAATCTGACTCTACAGTCATAACCGTTCACGGTAACGTTGAAATCTTTTCGTTGCGGTATTAACCGCCGCGACAAAAGTGTCCTCGTCACCTGATTAGTATTCCAGATTAAGACTGTCTGATGATTATTGTCATTAATCGTCACCGTAGTCGGATCGGGCCCGGAACAGGTGAAAGCGTAATACGATCTCCGGCTTGAAAAAGATGCGGTAGCGTAAGTGCATTTGTTTCCTGTAACATTTAAATTCGTGAGAATTTTTCTGTAGAGAGAACTTTTTCATTTTCTTGTTCTACGTAACGAAATATTCATTCCTACCGCTTCAATTCTCTCCAAATTGAATTTGGCAAATTTGAGGTTGCTCTCGCGCACAGTTATTCCCGCTTTCATTTTCGAATATACAATTCGAATA